TTACAAATTAGGTTTGGATCTAAAAGCTGAAGATCTGCAGACTTATTTTAGCGATAGAAAATTTTCTTGGTGTGTTGGAAGTAAGTGGTGTGTATATACTGTTGCCTACTTACAAAGACTCTAAAACAAAGTGACCTAATGCTAGTGAACATAATTTTCTTGAACTCACCTAAGAGGCCAAGTAAAAATAATAGTCTTAATTCATATGTAAAAATATGTTAATGTACTACTTGCTTACAATCGGAAAACAGAGGAAAATTCTAAAATTAATGATCCTCCAACAACGTTAATTTGCTATGATTGCACACTCAGCCTAATAGGATGGAATCAGAAGCTTCTCTTTCTGACGATGAAACTTCACGCTGCCAGATGTAAGAAGAAAGCAGCAGCTGGGAGAGAGGAAGCCTGGGGAGCCCCCCATTCCCTGGGGGATTACACCTCAGTGTGTTCCTGGCCCTTTTATTAGACATCGCACTCAAGTGTCGCATGTATTTGAAATACCATTTTCTATGGAAAAGTTGGTTCTTTTCCCTGTGCTAAACAATATGGCATTATTATGCTAAGACTCTTCCTCACTCATTTGGAAGAGTGTATTCAGAAGATGAGTCTTTTAGGAAAAATACAATTGAGCTCTTTAGTCACCATGTTATTTTAATAAGGGACAAGGGAAACGGAGTAAAACGACGTGTGAGGTTTTGACAAGTATGAGAGCAATGGTATTGCTTTGTTGATTAAGTACTAATTTTTTTAACGTCATTTCTGTAGATTAAAAATTTGTGGATGAGCTAGGGTGTAATTAGGAAGAGGCCACGCCGCGGCTTCGGAGGAGCGTTCGGAGACCGGCCTCGTCTCGCAGCGCCCCCTGCCGAGGAGGGGGCCTCGGAGAACCACAGGACTCGCCTGCGGGCAGACACCGCGGACTGCTGACCGGGCCGGACCGGAGCCCCGGACCCCGACCTTGGCCGATCTGGTGTCTTCGCGGGCTCAGAGGAGGAGTTGGAGCGGAGCTGGGCGGGGAGATGAGAAGCAGGGCAGGCGGAGCGAGCCCTGCGGAGCCCATCGCTCCCGGAGGCCCTGCGAAGCCAGGGGGAGGCGCGCTGGGGGCAGCGGCCTGATCGGGCGGACCCAGGATCCAGGACGTTGGCCGCAGTTTAGCCACCTCCCCCGCGTCCCGGACGCGTGAAGTTGCCCAAGAACAGTCACCCCTCTGAGATTGTTTCCTTGTGCGTAAATTGGGGCTCAGAACATTTACTCTGTGGGGCTGTTCTGGTAGGGCTTGAAGATAATGGCTCCAAAGAACCCCGACCGGGTTCTGGAATATCGAGGCGCACTGCCTGGAAAATACCCTCCGTCCCCGACTTCCTGCCTCCCCGCCACACGCCGCTCCCCCAGCGGCGCCGACCCGGGGGTGCCGTGGCCGCTGACGTGTGCTTTGGCTTTTCATTTTATGCCATGACTCACGCTGTCCCACCGGCGTCTAGGCTTCTAATGAAAGGATGCTGTGATCCTTCTCTGGTTCTGCCCAAGAGCCGTTGGTGCCGTCACTTCCAGCAGGAGGCTGTGAAACGGGAATGCGCAGACTTTTCCAGGCTGCGGGGGCGCGTGCTCACGGCGCTCTGGCGACCCCGGAATCCCTGCGGAGGGGACGTGGCTTCAGAGCCCGCGTCCAGCTCGGAATTTTCGTTTCAAGGGTTTTTTTTCTTTTTGCGAGTCACACCAAATCAATCTTTATTCTTTTCTGCTCAGCAACATTGGCTTTATGTCCCTTCACTCCAAAATCCTCCTGACTCTCAGGAAACTAAAGACAAATAAAGCTCAGAGTTTCTTTCTGCCAGGCTTTCACTCCCCCACGGCGGCTGGAGAGTCGTCCGTAACGGAGACACAATCAAAAGAATTCAACAGGGTGTGTGGTAAAATCATTAATTAATATAGAATTATAATTCCAGTCTTCCCTGGGATGAAACAACAGGGCCCGTGTCAGTACCTAAGTTGGAATTCAATAGCCAGAGCTTGCTTTAGGCGTAGCAATAAAAAAAAAAATTCTGCCAAAAGCAAATGGGAAAGTACCAAGAAACCTGTTGGGAGTCATTTCTCCTGTGTCAAGATACTGCACAATTTGTAAAGTAAGTAAATCAGGAGCATGGTAGCACTTAAATGGTAATATTTTGATTTTCTCATTTTTCTTAAAGCTGGATTTAAACGTTTGATATAAAGCAGACTTTTAATTTCCCTTTTTTCAAAGATAATATTGAAGGGTCACTTTCTGGGTTTCGGTTTTAAGAGATGACTCATTGTACCACCACTGTCTTACCGGCTTCAAAATCAAATTTCCGGTCACTGTTGTGCATTTTGATTTGGCAAAGCTGTATCTGTTTTTATGCGCTGTAATAGAGATTACTTTTATTGCTGGTTCCCATGTTTTTGGTAGTAGATCTTCAGAACACTCCATCAAATAGATAAAAAGAACATTGCATCCTTTGATGAAATACGCTGTTTGCTCCATAACTGGATTCCTGATGGAGATTTATAAAAGATCTGGAACGTTTCTCAGCTTATTACTTTCGGATTTATCTTCGCAAATGCACTGATGAATTGACTGATTGATTGATTGATTGATTTTACCCTTTCCTTATTAGTAAAGCTGACTATGGTGCATTGAGAAAGGTGAGCATTCTCGAGCTGGTACCTCTGTTCCCCAGAAACACCGCACGCGACCCCCAGGGAGACAGGCCAGGGCCAGGGGCAGCGTGAACGAGGGCTGTGCCAGAGCAAGACCTTTCTCTCCTTAGCGAGCAGCACCGGGGCAACGCCTGTGCCCGCCGAAGCGTGGCAGGGCCTTTGCCTGGGAGGCCCGTGTGGCTTCGGGCTGGAGCTGAGAGGCAGCCCTCTGGTCCTGGACCGCGTGTCCTGGGGAAGTCCGCGGGCCCCGCTGCGGCGTGGTTCCAGCTGGGCCTGGCGGGGCTCGCCCGGCCTGGGTCCGCCCTGGGTTGAAGGCGGACCTGGGGAAAGCCGCGTAGCCCGGATGCCTGAGGCCCAGCCGCGACTTCTAGGCGCACCATCGACGGGACTGAAACCTGTGGCTTAGCCTCATTTTCACGCGTAACCCATAAATGTTCATTGAACACCTATTATGTGTTTCAAGGCCATCTAATTTCAAATTTCCCCCAAACTTTTCGCGTTTATGTGTTTATTCGCTTCCCCCTGACAGAAAGTTAGGTAATACCTTCAATGGTGGGTCCAAGGGGTCAAGACTCAGAGATCGACTCAGGCGTTGTTCCTCCCACCCCTGACAATGCCTCCCTGACGTTCTCTAGGCTCATTTGTTCTATTCTTTAAAATCTCTGAATATTGCTATTATTGATTTTCTTCATACTGCTTAAAAAAAAAATCACTTTTTCTAAATGTGAGTAAAATTCTTCTACTTGGGAAATCCAGACCTGTCCGTGTAACTGTTCGTGTTCCAAGGGTTCCCTGGGTCCTGCAGAAACAGGCGCCATCCCCCTGGTGCGCGGGGTGGGAAGCGTGAGGACCGGCCCCTGGTGGAGCCACCCATGCCAAGGGCTGCCACCAAACTGCGGCTCCGCTGGCAGTTTCCGCTCTCTCAGAAACGGGCCCGGACACCTGTCAATCACGCGCCGTCAGATGGGCCCTCCTGAGGCCATCTGCCTCACGGAGACCTCCGGCCCCTCAGGGCGGCGGCCTTGCAGTAACAAGCAGGCAGGACCCCCTAAACGTCCTTGTCCCGGCTCCCTCTGCCTACCAAGGTCTCTCCTTCTGCAAAGATCCTCCGCGGTCCGATCTGCCGGATTGGAGGCTGCCTGGTTCATGGGTTGTTAAATAAAGCCATTAAGATCTTCCAAATGCATTCTGTTGAATTTCATTTTTTAAGAGAGTGGCCTTTAATTTCGTCAAAGTTATTATTTTATTGGTTTTTAAGGAACAGCAAATGTTTATGGGAACATCAGTGGTTTCCAAGAGCCGGAATAGAAAATTATCAAGAACATCAAAAGAGTAGAAAGCTCCTGGCTTGTCTTGAAGGATGAATCAGCCTTTTAAGTTTCTTCTGAGCACACTACCCTAACTTAATTAAAAACACTCAAACGAGACTTGTGGCGTTACGTTATTGCCGCGACTGCGGGATCCTGTGGCTTGGGTATGCCCTCCCCGGCCCCCTCCTCCGCTGAGGTGTGTCTGGAAATGCGTGAGGTCAGGCGATTTTTCAAGCAAGAGAGGGCTCAGCAATAGTGTACCTCGGGAAACGTAAGGACTAACCAGAAGCTGGCATCATAAAAATACCAAACCAAACCAAAACAAAACTAGTTCCTACTCTATTTAAATATTACTTAGAGTTCCGACAAATTTTGAATTAACTCGCAATGGACTGGTTGCACGAGGTGTACACCCCCTGTTTTGGGACGTCCAACAACATGCCTGTGGGTTCCCTATGACTTCAGACCTCTCAAGCAACCACGGAAAAAAATGCTACATAAGTCAGATGTGAGAGGGACCCCTATTTCCTGGCCCCCGGGGGCCGTCCTCCGGGATCTGGAACTCGGTCGGGCTGTTCGGAAGACGCCCGGGCTGTGGCCGTGTCAGGCCCACATCCCAGGAGTAAAATCCCCGCCTGGCACTCGCGGCGCTTTCCGAGGCGCAGACCCAGCGCGGGGCGGGGCGCGCGGCGGCCGGCGCGGGCGGAGGCCCGGGTCAGCCCCGCTGCGGGCAGTGCGCCCGGGCGCGGGTCCGAGCCGCCACCTCGGGGCCAATCAGCGCGCGGCGCCCGGCGCCCCTGCCCGGCCGGCCCGCGCCCCCGCCGGGGCAGCGCCGGCAGTGGCGGCTGGGGCCGAGCCAGGGCCCGGGCGAGGAGGGGCCGAGCCGCGGGGGATCCTGGAATCGGCGGGGAGGTGGGGATTCTGGGAGGAAAGCTCCATTTCCTCCTTCCCGCCGCCTCGCCCCTCCGCCGGCACCCCAAATTTCGATGTGCCGCCTCCCGCGGCGGGAGAATGTTGGGCATGTACGTGCCCGACAGGTTCTCCCTGAAGTCGTCCCGGGTGCAGGACGGGATGGGGCTCTACACGGCCCGCAGAGTCGCAAAGGTGGGTGACCCGGCGGCCCGCGCGCCCTCCGCGGGCCCGGGCCGCCGGCTTCTCGCCCGTGGCGCCGCCCGGCGGCGGGGTCCCGGGGGCCCGGGGCCGGGGTCTCGCCGGGCGGCCTTGTCGGCCGGCCTCCCGGCGGCAGCGCCACGTCAGTGCCGGCCGCGCCCCGCTGACCGGTCGGGGGGCGGCACTGCCCGCGGCCCTGCGGCAGGATGTCTGTCCTCCCCCGGCAGGAAGTGTCCTCGTGCAGCCTCCCCTGCCCCGGGCACCCGCGCGACCGCGTCTCCGCGAGGGCTGCGCCTGCAGGGCGGGGGTCTCAGGGCGCCCGCCAACCCCCCCCACGCCTTCCGCGCCTCCTGTGGGATGAGCCCACGCGCAGCCCACACCGCCCGAGTCTCACTCAGACGCCAGGGGTGCTTCCCCCCTGCGGACTCGGGGAGGTGCCAACCACAGGATCTTTCTTCTCTGCCTCTGGGTGTTTCTCTGACGAGGTCTCTTCTTCCAGAAACTTAGAGGCAAGCGAGCAGGGCGAGCACATGGCACTGTGCACACGGGATGGCCTGGGAACGCTCGATCTTCAAAGCAAAGGCCTAGGAGGAGAGAGGACTGGAAAATTCCAAGCCTTTGGATTGCATAGACCTGTGTTGTAGCCGTTTCTCTGGCAGGGGTGCGGGTAGGGAGAGCCGCGTGCAGGTACTTGGTGCCAGGGCGCACCTGGCGCGGCACCTGCGTGAGAGACTTCACCGCACATCCCTCCCCGAGAATAGCGCCGATCCTGCCGTGAAGACGCAGAAGCGGAACTGCTGCAGGGTCTGATTTCCCAGCGAGCGACAGAGTTAGGCTTCAAACCTGTGGCTTCTGAGTCCAGAGCTCATGTTCCTTCCAGATGGTCCCCTGCCAGCTTCCCAGCACCCCCACCCCACCCCCTTACCAGATATTTTTACAAATGGAAGTTCGGGCAAGAGCAGGCTTGTGCAGGTAAGGCACACTGTCAGGAGGGCCCCAGGGTGCACCAGAGACGCCGCTGGGGCGCATCCTCGGAGTGTGAACCGGCCCCGCCCCTCACTTCAGAGTAGGTGACCCAGGTGGACAGGCCTGGAGGCTTCCCTGATGTGCCCTGGGTGCGGCCTCCAGGGCAGATGTGGAGCCAGGGAGCCCCGTGTTCACCCTCTCCAGTGGGAGTTTGGAAGGACGCTGGGAGGTGCTCCCCAGGAGCCAGCAGCTTACCTGAGTTGCAGGTGTACTGAAGAGAGGCTTTTGCCAAATGGCTGGATGTTAACTTAATCATCATTCTTCCGAAGCAGACGTTGGAAATCTGCTTTTAATTCTTTCTCACGAGATATACAAATTCCCAAAAGGATTTTTCTGGAAGATCTCTAGGCCTACATGTAAATACTTAAACATTAAACACAGTTCTTAAACATTGTTTTGTTTAATGTTATTACTAGGAATATACTAAAAAGTTGTGAAATACTAGTATTATATAATTCCTATATTTTGCCTGAGGTGATCATTTAGGTTTTTAGAGATAGCTGGCCAGTGTGCTTTCTTTGGATATACTCATTCCACCTTATTTTTCCATGCCGTTGATCACCTGGAAGTTTTTATAATTTGGGGGCGCAGATGAAGAGCGTCCGACACCATCAGAGCACCCCTCTTACTGAACGCACACTTCTGCTTGCCTGGCTCCTGGGGCGTCGCCCCGGGACACGAAGAGCTTCACCCAGTCTCATCGAGAACGCTTACCTGTGCTTCTGGGGAGCGCGCAGGTGTTCGCAGCCAATCAGGGTGACATCCTGTGGGTGACACGGACGCATTACGACCCTAAGGAAGGGCATCGCGAGGCCACTGGTCACAGCCCGGTTCTCTGATGCCAGAGATGACCTTGCAGTCGGCTGTGGCGCCCCGGCCGCCCCGGCTGAGGAGGGGGCTGAGTGGGGTTCAGGTTTTGGGTGGACTGTAGGGTGGACGCTTAGTATCTGTACACCTTTTACCTGCTTGCTTGTAGTTTCTATGAGTGTTTCCCAAGTCACCAGCACTGGGCCTCACTCTGGCCATAAATCAAGGGGTCTTAGGAGGACCTTAATCTAAAGTTTTCATGTTCTCCAACCAGGCTTTGGAATAGATCGCTTTAGATACATGTGTGTGTTGGTTTCACAGACGTTGCATTGCACTTTTATATCACATTGGTGCATATAACACTTCTGTTTTAGAAGTAACCTGGCCATCTGCCGATTTCACATTCAAAGGCTCTCATCCAGACCCGTTCTGAGGGTCGGGGATCCGGCTGGAGACTCCACCCGCACGACACGCACCCCGTTGACTTGGGGTTCCCTTACCCAGGAGCCCCGGAGTCCCGCTGCGCCCCCGTCCCGCTGGGGGCAGCGTCCCGGAGCAGGGTTCCTGCGGCAGAGCCGCCGGATTCCGGCCTCCACGTGTGTCCTCCTGGGTTTAGGATCCTTGCAGGCTGTTGGCTTTCCTTCTCTCTGACTTTGTCACATGTGGCGGGCACTGTGCCAGGCTCTGGGGATGCAGAGGCGCAGACGGACAAGGCCTTTGTCCACAGGAGCTTGCCCTGCGCGGGGCGATAGGCGGCGAGCAGGTGCTGAAGGGAAGACCGGCTGGCTCACCGCGCGTGGGTGTACGGGTGATTTTGCTGGCGCTGTTCTCGGCGGTGGGACTGCAGAGTCGCAGAGATGGCTGCCTGGCCAGAGAGGCAGGGATGTGAACGGTTCCCAGCGAGCCGGCGGCCCGAGGTTGCCAGGTTGTGTGAGATGCGACCACGGGAAGTCCTTAGAGTGAGTCATCAGAAGAGGCCGGGGTCGCAGAGGCCGCCGGCGGGGCTGAGTCTCACGGGGACACATTGTTGCCGCTCACACAGGCAGGGCTTGTTTTTGCTCTCCTGTGAACACTGTGAAGTAGGGCTGCCACTGTGCCCCTCCCTGGCGGAGGCAGAGCCGGCGGCCAGCGTGACTCGGCGCGCACGGCCTGGGTGACAGGCGAGCAGGGGCCCGAGCCGCCGAGCTGCCTGGGGCCCGGGCTCCCGGCCGGTTTGGTGGGGCCGCGGGGTTTGCCGGAGGCGCTGCGGGGAATGGCGGGCATGTAGTCCCACGCTTTGAAGTCGGGGTTTTCTCTTTGCCTGCCCTGCATGCGTTACCTCCTTTTACTGTACAGCAGACTTCAAAGGTCTAATTATTACCCCCAAATTACCGATTACACGCCTGCTCGGTTATTACTTCTTGTCAAAATTTTTGCAGTGGCCCTGTGCTGACCGTTACGATTTTTTCTGCCTTCCCGTTCATTCCTCATTAGTGGGCTGGAACCTTACCTGATCTTCAGACGTATTTCGGAGCCCTTTAACTTGCATATGCTTAGCATAGGTGAGCTGGGTTTTTATGTATTTTTAAAAAGAACTAGAGACTAAACGGGAAATGGAAGAAGCGCGAAAAAGGAAATAACTGAATATCCATGAAATGCAATAGGACGTCTCCCCCAGATCCTCGGTCCCCTCCTTCCCCTGGAAGCAGGAAAGGGTGTTGCCGAGGCCCGGGTGCACCGAGCTGGGCGCGCGTCCGGTACTGGGAGCTGACCCGGCTGGGCGCCCTCCCTCCCTGGCCTCCTGCCCGCTCCGCCGTCTGCACCTCTGCCTGCGGTGCTCTGTGGCTGTGGCCCCCGGGGCGGCCCGCTCCGGCCGCCCGCCGCTGCGCTGAGCCCTTCTCCGGAACGGGTGCAGGTCCCGGGGCAGACTCGCCGGACACCCTCGGGGTTTCCCAGGGCAAAACTGGCTGACAGCATGTCGTGGCTGAACACGATGCAAATGCATCATGCCCTGTTCTGGAGACATAAATGCAGAGTGAGTGGCAGACTGCTCCCCGCTGCAGGCCCTGGTCGGTGTCCTGGACGCTGCCCGCGTCCTTTGCTCAGGGTCCCATGGCCTCCAACCTCTGCCTCCTCCGTGAGGACCCTTGTGGTTCCACTGGGCCCAGCCAGATGACCCAGGTCCCTAACAGAATCGCATCGGCCGAGTCCCTTCATTAATGCTGTGCGAGGTGACCTACTCCCAGGTTCCCAGGATTGGGGTGTGAACATTTTGGGGGACTGTTATGCGTCTTGCCGCAGCTCTGAGGCAAAACTCTTCCTCGCCCAGCTCACGCGGAACATCTCACAGTGCCCAGGTCAAGGGAGGCCCCACAGGCTGGTCCCCACACAGCGTTTCCATGGCAGGTCTCCCGAAGGGGTGGGCATCCTGCCTGGTGCTTGGACAAGCTCTGGCAGCCGTGCACGGGGCTGGCCTTCACGCAGGGAGGCCTGGGGGGTGGGCCTCTCAGGAAGTGGCGGGCAAGTCTGTGCCTGAGACTCGAACAGGAGGAGGCTCAGGCAGTGTTCTCCGGGGGAGCTGTTCAGGGACGTTGGGGAGCGACCTCAGGCGCATGTCCTCGTGGTGCGCACGAAGACGCTGGAGCCCAGGGCAGCCCTACGCGGCCAGGCCGCGGGCGGCCGCCGCTCCGGGGCCCACGCCCACTACGATGCCCGCACCCTGTCTGCAGCCAGGGCCAGTGTCTCGATGGGGGTTTGTGGTTAGAGATGTGGGAGCGATACCTGACATAAAGGCTTCGGTCTGAGCTTTTGAAAAGACAATTAGCCAACAAGGAGGCAGGTTGGGTAGGATTAGAAAAACACAGGGACGGGGGACCGTGAAGGGAAAAGCAGGCGCGTGGGGGCGGGAACGCCCGGGTGTGAGCGCCGAAGACGGGGCGTTGTGGGGCCCGGTGCTCTGTAGGTCAGCGTGGAGGGGGCCTCGCGGGAAGAGGCCGCGGGCCTCTGCGCTGGGGCTGAACTTCCGCCCGCGCTGTTTGCTTGTGCTTCCCGGTGGCGGACGGTAACTAATCTGGAAACGCAAGCGGAGCGGAAGCCGGCACCGGCCAAGCCTGCCGCACGGGCTGTCTCGCTCTGGGCCCCACGGTGGTGACTCCGTCCGGCTTTGCGTGTCCTGGTGCTAT